GTGTGGTAAAGCTAAGTGTCGTAGAGTCAAGTGTAGTAAAGTCAAGTGTACTTGACTCCACGTATTCTCTATGTATTTTCTCTGCGAGGCTCCGCACGGAAGAACCCTTCGCGATGCTTTCGGGAACTATACCTATATTTACTTATAACCCCAATTAAGGGACTGATAACCTCACTTACTAAGTCTCAATGATCCTCCAAGTACGATTCCCGAAACCCAAACCCGGCATCTCTGAGCCTCCCAGGCCAAGACCTTGAAATTGAATTCCCAGCCCTACACTTTGAAACCTCAAACACAAAACCCTGAACCCCGGATCCCTGATATATAGAGGTCAGAGTTATTAGCAACATCCCCTTCTTTGTCCCTAAACCAATTATGTGGGTGGTTAAAAAAAACCCAAAACCCTAAACCCTAAACTCGCCAGGTGGCTTCGTCCGCCTCGAGCTCGTAGAGAGCAGCGAGGACGACGCGGATGCCGACGACGAGGGCGAGGAAGAGTCCGATGCCAGCTCCGAAGACGAACAGGAGCTTTAGGGTTTAGGGTTTAGGGTTTAGGGTTTAGGGTTTAGGGTTTAGAGTTTAGGGTTTAGGGTTTAGGGTTTTTGACAATGTGTTCAACAGGGTTGCGGGTACATCATGGCTATGGCCAAGACGGGTTTCAGTGAGGATGTGGGTTTAGGAATAAAGCGGCTCAGGGCGAGTAACCCCTCGAGTTAAGGTTCCGGACCCTGGCCGCTGCAGTTTTGACCTTTTGATTCAAAATTTTGAGTTTAGGGTTTACGGCTCTTTCGCTCTCTGTGCGTTCAGCAGAGCCATGGGAGCAGGTGCCCAACAGCCTTAAACCCCTACAACACTGTTCTGGTGCGAACAGCCCCTCGCCGCCGTCATACAGGCAAACAGGCGAGAAACTGCCAACTCATCCAACCTCGCAGGATTTCCCATACAGCCCAATCCCCCCCCTACCAAAGGACTCGTTTTCAAACAGTGTTCGAATGTTCGTGGAGTAGCCCAGTCCTTGTTTATGATTCGATTCATGGAATGCACGTCCACATTTCGGACTTCCCTCTCCGAGTTCAGAGAAGCCGTCACTCACGCCCAAAAATTCACAAAAATCTGAAGCTCGGATCTGTCAACACACAGAAATCAGCACGGCTGAAAAGAACTCAACCCTAAGCCCTAAACCATCGATTTCCTAGACCTGACCGCAGGACTCGCACCTTCGTCTCCTAAATCGACTGCAGAGCTCGGCTCCGGAAGGGAACTGCTCGTGGGATGCCACCTGGGCTCCAATGCGGTTTGAAGCCCTTCCATAAGGGTCCAAGTAGTCCTTATTTATGGTTTTAGGTACCCAGAAAGGCCCCAAAGTCCTTAAATAATGGGTACTTGGACCCTTAGGGCTTTGGAGTCTTGGGTTTGGGATTTAAGATCTAGGGTAAAGTGTAGTACCCAAAGGCACTATGTTTCTCGTAGGCGTTTAGGGGTTTCAGGGGTTTGGGGTTCAGGGGTTAGGCATTTAAGGTTTGGTCAACGGGGGTTTTTAGCCCAAAACACCTTAGTTGTCTTGCGAAAACCCGGCGCGACAGCTTCAGAAAGTAGGTCTCATGGGTTACGGGCAAGATCCGACCTGGTTTAGGGCTTGAGGGCTTTGTTAGAGTCCTACCTTAAGGGTCCATGTACCATACTTTGGCCTTAAAGTAGTTCCTACTTTGGGGCCAAAGTATCTACTATTTGGGTACATGGACCCTTAGGGCTATACCCTCAAAACACCAAGCCTCTTCACTCCAAGCCCCTGAACCCTAAACCCCCTGGATCCGGACGCCCTAAACCCCTAAACCCCAAAACCCCGAAGCCCCGAAACCCAAAGCCCTAAGCCCTAAGCCCTAAACCCTAAACCCTAAACCCCTAAGCCCTAAACCCTGGACACAAGGTCTGGCTCGAGGTGCTTCGAGGATGGCCGCAGCTGAAGGTGAAGTTGAACTCCCCTGACTTTGCACGCCACGCGACGGTTTAGGGTTCAAGGTTTAGGATTTCGGGGTTGAGGGTTTGGGGTTCAGGGTTTAGGGTTTAGGGTTTCTGGGTGCTTGGGGGGGTTTAGGGTTTAGGGTTTAGGGTTTAGAGTTTCGGGTGTAGGTGTAGGGGTTTAAATAGAGCTTAGGGAGTTAACCCTAAACCCTACACCCCAAACTAGAAGTTTGAGGGCTGGCTTAGCTTTCTTGTTGTTTTTCTTTTTAGATATGGGAGTTTCCGAAAATTAGGGTACCTTATTTGGGGGTCCTTATAATAGGGATCCTATTGTTTAGGGTACTATATTAGGGTCCCCTATTTTCGGAAACCCCCATATCGGCGGGAAGGGGGCTTTCCGGATGCCAGGTTGGGGTTTCCCGGAGAGAGAGAGAGAGCGGTTTAGGGTTTAGGGTTTAGGGTTTAGGGTTTAGGGTTTAGGGTTTAGGGTTTAGGGTTTAGGGTTAGAGCTCGTCCGATTGAGGGTGTTTTTGAGTGAACTTACCATAGATGATATTGGAGTATAAATCATACATCAACTATAGATAATGATAAATCATATTTAGCAGTCTTCATGTTGGGAAGCCAGAATTTAGGGCTTGTGGGGGTGGGCTTTTCGTTGTTCCGTCTCAGTGCGTTGCTTTCAGAGTTTACCTAAGCCCTAAACCCTAAACCCTAAACAACCCTAAACCCTACACCCTAAACCCTAAACCTTAAGGTTCGCCAACTTAAGGTTTGGTATTTGAAGGCTTCAGTTTACTTGAGGTTGTGGTTTTGGCCTGCGGAAGTCTGGGGTGCTGACCTGGCACTCGTAGGTTTGATGGCTTTCAGGGGTTTAGGGTTTAGGGGTTTAGGGGTTTAGGGGTTTAGGGTTTAGGGTTTAGGGTTTAGGGTTTAGGGGTTTAGGGTTTAGGGGTTTAGGGCTTTGGGTTTGGGGGATTTGGATATTTGAGGCTTAGGGTTTAGGGTTCTTGGGAAGATGTTCAGCTGCTGGTGAGAAACTCACTCTGAATGCTAGAAGCCCTCGGCACCTGCACCCTTATATATATATATGTATATATGTATAATATAGCTACACACACACACACATATATATATATATATATATTAGCCTGTTTAGTTCGAGTTCGGTTTCAGGATCTATGCTTTAGGCTTAGGGTCTTGGAGTATGTTGTGCAGTTGTGCTAGAGCTAGAGAAGAAAAGTAGAGTCTCGTAGAGGACGTGCACTAGAAGTACTCCTTATCTCTTTTTTCGCTAGATTCCCTTGTCCCTAAACCCTAAACCCTAAACCCTAAACCCTAAACCCTAAATCCTAAACCCGAGCTTCCCTTGTCGTTAAGTTGTCAAGGACCCAACCCACGACCCGCACTCTGCGTCTTAAACCCTAAACCCTAAACCCTAAACCCCTATAATAAGCATGGCGCCGAAGCCAGAAGCCTTAAGCAGTGAATCTTGGACCCTCTAATATAGGGGCCTAAATCTAAATAATTACCGATATTATTGTGGGGGTTCCTTTGGATGATTGCAGTATAATTGGCCCCCCCCAAAACCCTTCTTCTAATTATTAAGGCCCCTACATTAGCCCTAAACCCTCAACCCACAGAGCCTGAACACAACAGCCTCAGCCTAAACCAGCAACGCCAAAGCAACGGGTCGGGTCCAGGTGTGGGTTGATCTAGGGTTTTTATTGCTTAGGATTTTGGGTTTTAGGGTCTAGGGTTTTAGGGTTTAGGGTATAGGGTTTAGGGTTTAGGGTTTAGGGTGTTGGGTTTAGGGTTTCGCATGCATGCCCAGGCAAGGGCAACGACTTGCGGGTGAAGTTTGATGTGGACCTTCTCAAGTCCATCATCGAAGAGGCAGACTATTGTAGTTTATCCGATGTTGACTTATGTTACATACTGTACTGTATATTATATTTTTGTTGTAGTATGTACTGCGCTGTAATTGATAATGTTATGTTGTAAACATACTCCTGCCTGCAAAGCGAAGCACTCACACACTGCCTTTTTTCCGATCTTTCTCTTCGGTCTCGTAGCTCTAGTCTGTCTAAGGCAGTTTATGGTCTTTGAATAGTTGTAGTAAATCCCCCGAAACCATGTTCAAATGTCGCATTACTAAGGCACCTCATTTGAACACTGCTACCATCGTCACCCTTAACCGCCTTAACCCCTAAAGCCCTAAACCCCAAAAACCCTTCAACCCCAAAACCCTTCAATCCCAAAGCCCTACACCCCAAAGACCCCAACCCTCAAATAAACCCTAAAACCCTGAAAGCCCTAAACCTAAAACCTTCAACCCGAAAGCCCTAAACCCTAAATCC